CGGCGAACTAATAAACAGTCCGTCGGAGTACCACATAGTATCAGAAATTGAAAAATATTATAATTTTCGATCAGGTATTAATTACGAATTAAGAAAGCGATTTGGTAGAGACAAACAATTAAAATCTCATAAAGATTTAGGCGATGTCGTAAAATTCAAAAGTGGAGATAGGTACATAATATTTTTAATAACAAAAACGAAAAAGAAACAATTAGCTACGTACCAAAATTTACACGTTGCTTTATTAAATCTTAAATATTTTTGCGAAAAACATAAATTAACTAAATTAGCAATGAACCAATTAGGACGACAAGACGGACTAGATTGGACAAAAGTCAGATCAATGATAAGATACATTTTTCGTAATACAAATATAGAAATAATAATTTGTACCAAATTAGAGTTTAGTGGGGAAGAAAAATTAGTAATTTTCAAACAATTACATAATTCCGTATTGGGTGGACACCTAGGAATCAACAAAACCGTAAAGAAAATAAAGAAACAATTTAACTGGCCGAACTTAAAGCAGGACGTAAGAGAATATATAAAGAATTGTACAGCATGTCAAATGAATAAAAATACTAACAAACATATTCAATATCCGATGGTGATTACGACAACTAGTACGAAACCATTTGAAAAAATATTTTTGGACATTGTAGGGCCTTTGGTTACAACCGGGCTAGGTAACAATTATATACTCACGATGCAATGCGATTTAACAAAGTTCAGCCTAGGGGTAGCAATACCTTGTCACACCGCTAACGTGGTGGCGAAAGCGTTCGTAATAAATTTTGTCTGTATACATGGGATACCGGACGAAATTTTGAGCGATCAGGGCACCGAATTTATGTCAAATTGTTTCAAAGACGTATGTAAATTGTTAAAAATCAACAAGATTAAGACTTCCGGTTATCATCCGATGATCAATGGGGCTCTAGAACGTTCACATAAGACATTGGCAGAATATTTAAGACACTACGTAAGTAAAAGTTTAGACAATTGGGATGAGCTTTTACCTTACGCCATGTTTGTATACAATTCTACGGAACATACGTCCACAAGGTACCAACCATACGCGTTGTTGTATGGCAAAAATATTAATATACCAGTTAAACTGAAAGCAAAACCGGAACCTAGGTACAATTATGATGATTACGTATACGATCTTAAACAAAAATTCCAGGAAGCTCATCAAATTGCACGGAATAGATTAATAAAGAATAAAGAAGTAAATAAACGATATTATGATAAGAAAACAAATACGGAAGAGTTAAAAATCAATGATATGATCTTACTTAAAGATCATACTCAAAGAAATAAATTAAGTCCACTTTGGAAGGGACCATACGAAGTACTAGACGTACTAGATTCGGAAAATGTAGTTATATCACGAAATCGCAAGAAAGTGACAGTACACAAAAACGATGTGAAACTGTATTACGAAGATAATAATGTAGATAATGAAGAAATCACGAACACATGACGAAGTTTTAATTATAAGTAATTAAATAATAATAGGATAGGATAGTTAAGATATCATTACAAACGCAGTATAATATATATAGTATAGATATAGATATAAGATATAATAAACGAAATAATTAATAAGACAAACACTTTAGAATCATTAATTTTATCAAATAAGATACATGGTATATTCACAGCATTATTATCGCAGTATTCAATGGAAACACAATCGATAGGCGCTATTATAACCGCGGCTAGGACAGGAGTAATACATCCAAGTTTAATGACACCGCGTGAACTGGCGAATCATTTAACACAGATTAAATTAAATTTACCGATTAATTTAAATTTGCCTATGGGCACAAATCCGAATGAAATCTACGAATTAAGTAAAATTACAAAAATGGCAGTGTTCTATAAAGACAGTCAAATCGTTTTCGTAATAAAGCTTCCGCTGGTTACCGAATTAGAACTCACATTGTTCAGAATACTTCCAATACCACAACCGGTTGAAACAATGATTAATGGAATAAAGAATAAAAATCATAGTATTGTTTTAAAACCAGAATTTCAATATGTAGCGATTACAAAGAATAGGGAACAATATACCACGTTCACAGAAACTCAACTTTTGCATTGTACGGAAACAGAAATATTTACGATATGTCCAGAATTTTCACCAGTTGTTCACTCAAACAACAAAAACCCATGTGAAATAGCTTTATTCAAAAATCCGGATGTCTTGCCAGAAACATGCGAGACGGGAGTATTAGTATTATCGAAAGACATATTTTACAAATTAAAACATGCGAACACTTGGATATATACAACAAAGGGAGAAACATTAACTATCGCGTGTAGGGAAAATGCGGAACCATACATTACGAAAATACGAAAACAAGGATTAATTTGGTTAAGTTCAAAATGTAGAGCGTACGGGAACGATATTATATTAAATCCGACACAAGAAATAAAGTCGAAACACTATGTTAACTTTATACCCGAAGTAGGACAGGGAAAAATATCATTTAAGGTATCCGATAGAATAAAAAGTATGAACTTGCCTAAAGTAATAATTAAACCAGATTCACATAAACTCGAAAAAATACACGAAATAGCACAATCTTTAGACCATGTTCAACAACAAATTGATAATGAAATATTAACACAATCAGGACAGCTAGAAGCGAATGATACGCGTAATTATTTATTTTATTTAACATTGGGCTTGATAGTATTCTCAATAATGCTAATCATTTTTATATATATAACATATAAATGCAGGCTCACTTCATTAAGGCGACCACAATATGAAATGGTACGAGTAGGTAAAAGTAAACTCTGTGCGGATAATATCCAAATAGAACAGAAATTAAAAAAGGTAAACGAACGAAATCCACTTGAAGGGGAGGATATACCACCCCAAATAAAATAAACTATATAGGATTATTTTATTATTTAGAATATACTATAAGTATAATTAATTAAGTAGAAAATATAGAAAAAAAAATATATTTACATAAGTAGTTAGAAATAGTAATTAGAAATAGAACACGTGTTCGATTAGCAAGATAAAAACACATACGAAAATAGAATAGAATAAAATCAATTTAGTACTTGTCTCGATCATGTAATGGAACTTAAATACAATAGTTAATTGCTTGGTCTGGACCTGTAGTAAAAAGATATAATCAAATCACAGTATAGGAATAGTAATATTAACTAGATATAAAATATAATAATATAAAGATTAATGGAAAATATATATATAGGAACAAACGTAAGCATAAGGAAAAAAAATGATGAAAAAAAAAATGAAAAAAAAAAAAAGGAAAATTTAGGATTAAATTTTTTATAGAATAATATACAAATACATAAAGGAACATATTAGCTTATATTGGACATAATTAACATGGTGATGGGAAAAGAAATATATTAATCTAATTTATTTAAAATATAATTAACATGGTAATGGAAAAAAAATATATAACACACCAGTACACCACTATTTTATCGTATATATATATTGCACGAAAAAAAAATATTGTAATAGATTTTAAGAATTCATATTATATTAAAGGATTAATTTATACTATATTAACACTAAGATAAGATTATTGTTGTAAAACAAAAACGAGAAAAAAAATATATTGTTAATCACATAATATACTAACCTAGATAATAAGTAAAATATATACTGTAATATTGTGGAATATAATTTGTAATTGTCAATAACATTTAATAAATATAACCAGAAAAGTATGGTGTAATGTACCATATAATTCAATAATGTAACTAAATATCTGTAACAAACATATTATGTAAACATGTAATAATTGAATGTAATGAAATAATTTATATATGTAATTTGTAACCACATGGAAGTGCTTGAACTAATGGAGGGATGACTGAGTTAATTTTTCTCATTTTAGACGATAAAAATCAACTTTTAAAGGGGGAGATGTAGTAAGCCAGTTACTACGGAGTAATACCAATTTCATAAGTACATAGTTATTATTATAATATACGATGAATTGGGATTCAGAATTAGGCGTAGTAACATTTGACAGTAACAATAAAATCAGATTCCACAGGTGCATAAATATTATAATAAACGGTAGACCGGCATAGTCGGGTATTAAGAAGGAAATGGGTCCTTTAAACCTATGGAGATCAGGCTCACTGAATAACTCATGACGAGAGGGCTGAAATAGTCATTCGTCATTTTTGACAGAAATACTGGACGCATACGATGAATTTAAAATATTAAAGAGTAAAATGACTAAACACAAGTTAGTAATACATTCAATCGGATAAATATTCAATCGTCAATGCGTGGGCTAGAATGATGACTATACGAGTGACATCCGTGAGAACGGAGATATCGCATATGTAGGCAAGGGGTACGGGGAACCTCATATATAAGGGAGCCCGAATCGGCCTGTATTCAGACGTGTACTACCACCCATTAGTGCAAGCACCTTCACGCCACTCTGTTGAATATTATTTGGACTTAGAAAAATTATCGAACATTATAATAAAAATTCACAATACATTACATCTGTCTTATCATTCATTGTCTACCACGACTACAACATCAAATAAAGTGTCTGCGACCTGATCTAATAATAACTTGGTTGCCACTTATCTACTGTCAGTACTACGATAGTAGGTACCAAGCACCCAGGCTTATTACATTATGTCAATGGTAGATTTACACACCTCGAGGATGGCCAAAAGGATATTTTTATTTAATAAATAGAAACACAATTTTCTTCTTGTACTTTTATTTCATGTCCGGAATAGGACAGGAACGGACGTCGAGACGCGTATCTAACTTGAGAACAAAATAATATTCGAACGCTGGTCGGCGTACGCACACACACACACACACAAAACAATAACAATTCCTAAAACCGCACACTTGCGATAAAATACAGGACCAAACTGAACCAATATAAAACCTTATTTATATACATCCCGAATCGGAAGGTACAAATAATATTGTTTCCGCCAGTTCGCTTTTTGTATTAATCTGCTTGCCCAGTTGAATATTTTATATTATTGTCTTTTGCGAATTTACGATGCCGACATAAGGCAGAACGTCGCCTGCGATAACCGTCGTGGGACAATTTACTGGTCGGAGGCGCTGAAGCCGGTTCAAGAAAACTTTTACGACTGCGCTGATAACACTTGGCAATACGATATTCGTACCTACCGCACAACCGCCGTTTAAACTTCAAACCCCCGGCCGCGCTCACAACTACGTCATTGCCGACTTTGCCGACTTTGTCGTGCTCACGTATCAGTACATCGTGGTTTGCACTAATTTTTAATAGTGTGCCACCTAAACTAGGTAAACCAATATTATTCATTTCGACCGTTTGCCGAGCGAAGCGTAATCCGAAACACGTTTTTCTGCTCTCCGTGGCCCGCCGTGTGCTCCTGTCCGCGTTCCTCGACATACGTTTACCGTTCAGACCGTTCCCATTTGGCGCCTTTTGACGGTTACCGTCGCATTCTTTATTCTTCGTCGTCGCTGGATTTGATCGACATGGCTAGCTATTCGAAAAGTACAAATACGACGTACAACTCTACAATGGTGTACAAGACGTGTAACGCTAAGAAATGTCTGTGTCCTTTTAAGGAGAAACGCAACTATCATATAGAGTTGTAAGTACCTACTTCATTAATTGATTTTAACAATAACAATGCATCGCTTAGAATCGAAATGAAAAATTAAATGTTGTTTTTAAAATCGTTTACCTATTCGTATTAGGTAGTTTTTTTTTTTTTTTATTAAAATTAAATATAGGTAGGTAGGTAGTACCTATGTAGGTACCTATATTGATTTTATAATAGTACGATGTCTATATCGGTGTACAATGTCTATTTAACTGTAGGTAGGTAATTAGGTATGATTTTTAATTAGAATTTAAGATTGGAGGTTAACTGTCAATAAAATAGGTACTTATCTTGTTTATTGATTATGATAGGATGGCTAAAGATACTAGGTATTAATGTATTATAGTGGTAACAAGTAACAACAAATCTAGGAAAACAAATCACCCCAAAAAAAAGATAGATGGTTGTCTTGATCATTACGATTCACTTCAGCTACTTTTACACTTCATATAGGTACCTACCTACCTACAACAATTTACTAATTTACTAAAACTAAATTACAAATTACATTAAAATCCATATTATATTGAAAATAATAAGACATTTGAAAAAAAAACATGTCTTATAAAGCTTGGTATTTTTTTAAGTAAATATTTTAAAAGTCACATATGCATAAGTTGGTGCATAAGCTTTTATCAACATGATTGTTTTTATAACAACACAAAGACAAAATTTAGCCTATGTTAACATGTTATGTACAATATTACAAATTTTCCTTAAATTGGATAATATTTAATAATGTCATAAAATTTGAAATAATTGTGTAATACCTATGTAGTGGGTATGTACCAATATTATGTTATAATTATTATACTATAATTCAAGTGGCATTACCTATCTAATATATTTTTATTTTCCAATCAGCGGAATATGGGAAATAATACTGTGCCACATATGCAATTTATATGGAACACATAGGATATGCAGTTTTCTTAAATGTTTCCAAAATTGGCGCTGTAAAACATGCAATGACGATACAGGTATGATTTTTTATTATTGCATTAATTTTTTATATTTTATGTTTTATAACAGTGTTTCTCTTTATTATGAAGACCCACAAATACCTAGACTAGTTTTTGGGTAGGTGGCATCAAAAATTAATTACCAATGCCATAGACTAAAAATATTAATAATAATTTTTCTTATTGATGGTTTTATCATTTCATTTTAATAATATACATAATGCAATATTGAATATTTAATGAATAAATAATTCTGTTGAATATATAGTTTATTTTTAAATTTAAATTAATTATTGGAAGGCTTCTTTAATCTGTCTCTTCAAGCCATAAATTCATCTACCAAATGCACTTATTGTTCTAGCTAGTAACAGATTGTGAAATGTATTGTAAAAATACAAAAAAAATTAATTATTTAGAATTTTTTTTTATCGTAACTTGTATACGATAGCGTCCCATAATAAATATTTTCCATCCTATATAGAGTCACGTCCCATTGGTTTTCAACAGTGCATTATGATACTCCCTCAAAAAATCAATAACCAACTGATTGGTTAAGCATTAATTAACAAATTCACCACAAAGTGTTTACAAATATCCTCGCAAATATCCAAATTTAATAAAGATTCTCGATTTAAAATTATAGTTTTTAGGTGATTTTATCTTATTAGGTAAGTTTTGTAGGCAGACCTACTTATGTTATTTTATCTTTTAAATAAATGTAAAATTATAAACTATACTATTGTGAGTTAGAGTATTCTGTAAAATATGTATGATGTTTATACATATATAAAATATTCTACATTATAAATGTTGATAGAAGATAACCATATAAATTTGTATTATTTTAACAAAGTACAAGTTAAATGTTAAAAAAAAATAGTGGGTACCTGCGTATTATGTAATTATAAAAATAAATTGGACTTTTGTGTAGAATGCCTTATATATCATAACTAGCTGATCTTGTGTAACTTTGTTATTCATATAAATGGCTACTTATATCGAGCCCTATTAGATAAAAGGGCGTTAGCGACAATTTTGGAGAAAATAAGATATTGGTATCAAAATTTTTCTAAAATTCAGACTCATCGATCTGTAAAATGGTTAAGCGACAATATAAACCTAAGTATGTCATTTTGCCATTCAAAGATTGGGCAAAAGTGACATGTAGTTTAAATAATTTCAACATTGATTGTAAGTCACATTAATACGTAAGCGACCTTGTTGCATAGAGTAGTGTAAGCGCCATGCACTAATCAACACGACAAAATTGTAAGCGCCGAAAGTAAAAAGTGTAAGCACCATTGAGCTATATTCAAAAATTTATTTTATTGTAAGCGACATAAGTTACACAATATTAAAAATATCATCAGATATTCAATTTTAAAAGTGTTTTTTTAGTTCCTGTAAAAAAATGAAAATGTCGCTTACGCCCTTTTACCTAATAGGGCTCAATATAGGACTCAAGCTTTGTTCTATTCATCATCTAATATTTGGTGTATCTAATGGTTTTCAAAACTTAAGAACAATAAATAAAAAAAAGCGGGCAAGTGGGTATTGCTCTGCTGTACAGTAGGTTTCAAGTGGTTCATTGCAATGGATTGTATTAAATTTGAATTCAATGATTATATATCATTGTATAAGAAAAATGATTCTAAGCGAAGACGATCAACCATCCTATGATATTAATAAGTAAATTTAAAAATATTATTGTGAATAAAGTAATTTATATATTATAACCTACTTAGTGGAACCCTATTTTAAATTTTTCAATTATTGGCTATGAAAGTTTATACATTTTTAACTACTGAAATTTGTATATATATGTAAATTTTCAATTTGTTACATTTCCTCAACCTTCAAACTTTTAATTCTTATAAAGAATGTATATAAACTTTTAAATGGTTATGTTAACTGTCCAGATCTACTGGCAAATGTTTCTTTCTTGGTTTCTGGTCATACGACTAGACAAACTTATACCTTTTATGTGCCATTCCAGCCTACTTCATATGGTAAAAACGCTCCTTTAATTAGATCAATGCAGTATGTGAATTATTTCAACATTGATATGTTTTTTTGTAATTCTATTGTACTTTTTAATTTAGATATTAGTAATTTAATTAATTAACTTATTGTATACATCAACCCTCATTAGTTCATATATGTAAATTTTTTTTTTTTTTTTTTGTTCCACATTTATATTGTAACTGGGCTCGCCCGTTTAATTCTAATAAATAAATAAATAAATAACTGTAAAGACTGTGACCGAGTATTCTTGTGATTATTTTAAATATGTTATTTAGACCAGAGTTAATACTGTTGTGTTAAAATATCATATGTCTATTATTAATTAATAATTTATTATGTTGTGGTTGTTATATGTGGAGACTTACAGAGTCCGTAAAAATATATTTTAAAGGTTTTTGTCATTACTGTTGTCTTTAGCACTAGTTTATTAAGAATATTAAAATTAATTAATATTTATTTGACTGTTGACTAGACATAAAATAAGACTAATTCGTAGTAAAGCTATAAAATTAGAAAATCAACTTTGTTATTTTACCTAGTTTGATTTAAATATTTATTTTAAAGTATTCAAAATTAATTTTAGATACTTGGATTTGTGTTGGTATATCAGGTATGGAAGAAGAAAAATTGTTGTCTCAAGACAGAGGCATGGCCATACATCACATGGGTGCCCTTTCGGCAACTGTACCCGATACTTCTGCAGGGATCTTAGAAAGGCGTACTTGCACTATTGAAAAATGTCTATGTCCCCATAAACAAAACCGAAATCATCAAGAGAAGTTGTAAGTATTAATTATAATAATTTTTATTTTATGCCCCAAAGTCAAATAATACAGTTAATTAAGTATATCAGAGTTTGCCAGAAGGGGCAGTTGTATATACTTATTCAATTAGTACGTTCTTAAATTGTGTGAAATTGAGGTATTAATGTAACTTTAAATTTAAAACAATTTCATAATACATTTTCAACTTTTGTTGTAACAAACTAAATATACATGGTATGGTCTATATTTCTGTGTATATTCTAAATATCTAACAATATAATATGTTAATTGTGTCAATCAATAATCATTATTCCAATTTAAATTTCAAATTGTTTTTCATTACATTATTTTCAAATTGGATATTAATTATACATTATAGTGTTCTTGTTTAATTAATGGAGGTAAGTATCTTATTAATTCACCCTTGTGCACAATTATGACTGTTAAGACAGAAAATCTATACTTATACATAAATTATAATATGCAACACTTATATTATAGTTGGCACGGTTACCATACAACAATTGTTGTAAATGTAATAGTCGTAAAGTTGTAATAAATGTATAAAAAGAAAAATACTGTTATTAAAAGAACAAAAGTTAATCAACATGATGACTGATTATTTATATAAATGGTATTTTTTTCAAGGCATCAGATATAAAATTATTTAAGGTGCAGAAGTCTGAGAAAAAAGTATTTTAATCTTAAATATTGTACCTAATACTGTTTAATATAATATTAAAGTATGTGGTATATTTAAACTTTTGTGTATGCTGGTTACTCGAGTTTCGTCCCCAAACCCTAAAATATTGATGAATAATGATTTGTGGTTTTAAAAATTTCTATTTATTAACATTAATGCCATTTATCTTTCTCAACGGCCCACAGATCAATTTTTTTCAACTTATTATAATTATATTCAATATACGGACTTAAATTTATAAATAATTTATTATTGTTCCTTCATTATGTGCTACTCATATTTTCTTTTGATCAGTTGGTTTAGACTCTAAATTATAGAGCTTTATTTTTATTAAAATAATATTATATAATTTGGGATCAGTTAATAAATTAACAAAATTCCCGTGCCTTTTTATTTTATTTAAATGTTATTAAAGTAACTTCATATACATACGCTTTTATTAACATTAATGCCTGTTTTTATAACATCTCAAAGTCTAAATTTAACCTATGTTGACATGTTGTTTACAATATTAAATTTTCCCCTTAAATGTAATAATACTTTAATAGCACTTAAAACTGTCATAAGATATTGCCAATAATTATATAATATGTATATGATTATGTTATTATTATTATTATTCTATAATTCAAGTGTCATTAATATATTTTTTATTTTCCAAACAGTGGATCATGGGAAATACTACTATGCAGCACATGTGGTATTCATGGTACACATAGAATATGCAGTTTCGTTAAATGTTTTCAAGCATGGTACTGTACAGCATGTCAAGCCATACCCAGCGGCAATCATCAAACTATCTAATTTTAGATTCATATGACAGCAATGTTAACAGTATACAGGTAATACATATTAAATGTTTTCAGCCGATTTCAGGTGTGTGTTATTGGTATGTTTTAATTTGCATATTGTGATTCTTCTATTTCCACTTAATACAATAATTTATTTTAAAAGTTTAAGTAACCTTATAGCTAATATAATAATAGATAAGAATTTGTAGTCAGTAGCATGAACTACACAGAACTAGACACTACAAACAAATTTGCAGCATCAAAGTTGAAGGGGGTTTGTACACATGCAATGTAACTGCACACTGTATGTTAGTAGCATGAACAACGCTTTTTTTATATTATAACACACAGTATTAGGATAATATCATTGTGTTGTGATTTTAATTAATTTTTAGTATATGAAAAAAAAAAGTATATTTGTCATTAAATATTATTTTTCATGTTTATTTTATGTTTTTACCAACTGACAATTTCTTCTTTTTGGAACATACATTGGTTTATCATTTCTGAATATGAGAACCTTTTCATTCTCATCGTTAAGTAGTAGGTAATAGTAAATGTCAAAATTTAACTTTTATGGGACTCGCCAGGAAATGTTAACAGATTTGTTTTGTTTTCTAGGAAATAACTATCGTTTCTTCCAACACATTGTAACTTTCACAGAACATTTCAAATACTTCTTTAAAGGCAGATATGAATGTATATATATGTTGATTTCGGTATATTAATCTTCATTTTGATTTGTCAATGTTGCTTCTGGAATTGAATCATCTCCTTTTGAAATATAATAAATAATTATTTTTACCTAAACCTTTTTAAATACTTTATTTTTAAATCATTCTCTCATTGCTTTGAAACATATGCTACAACTTCTTTTTTTAATTTGGTAACACAAATAAAGGCATATATAGTAGGTGGTGGAATTTCTTGTTAAAGCAAGATAGTAATTATGATCAGTAATAATATCTTCTACATCCTAGTAATTATCTTTGATAAAAGTATCTAAATTATTTTTAAACTTACAATTTTATTCTTCCTATCAAATTCTTTAGATTGAAATATTTCTTTATGATCAGTCACTATAATTATTGGTTTATCTGTTGTCTTCAAAATTTTCAGTTTTCGGGAGTCTTAAATTATTTTTAATATTTGCTTTCCGTCATATTTTTTTTTAATTGTATAACCATTTTATTGTTTCTTAAAGTATCTGACCATTATTAGTTAATTTATTATGGTGCCGATGGAAAATATTAACAAATACTTGAGTAATTAGATAAAAAACTTGTAACTTACTTTAAAATCATTACTGTTCTTTTTTATGCCCTCTGCAGAGAATTTCTTAATCTGCACATCAAAACAACAATTTAAAACAATTGTGAAATTTTCTATTTTTGACTAATCTTAAGATAGTATTAAATTCCATTTACCATTGATTCACTTAACACTCTCTAAAATAAGTATAGATTTATTAAACATCATATAAATGCCTGCATAGCTACCTTGACTGGCACTTTAGATAAATTTATCTACATGTAAGTGACGTTCCTGTTATTCTTGGATACACATTTTTATTTGATAATTGTTCTTATTTTGATTATGAACTTCAATTTAATCAATCCATTTCAAAGCATGTGTTTCCAAACTAATCTAATATAGTAAATGAATGAAATTGTATTAGCTTAAAAATAAATTGTGTGATGAGTAGAGCAAGGACTTTAAGGCACTATAAAGTCATCAAATATGCATTTAAAAATATGCACATAATATGCATCAAATAATTTAAAATTTGCTTTTAAATATTGAAAAAAAAAGCAATATTAAATTCAATACAGATCTCATTCTTCATTCTTCATTTAGTAAGTATGTTGAATTGTTGACCTTAATTCATGAATATATTTACCGAAGTGCTTGATTTTTAATAAACTATCAAAAATTTACTCAAAACTTTAAAATATGTCCATTAAATCCAAAAATGTCAAAATATGCAAAAATATTCACTAAAAACTTTGAGTATTTGATCACTTATGTTGTGAAATGTATTATGTATTTACTAAGCATACCGAAAAGTTAACCAGAAAAAAATATGCAATGTCCATGCTCTAGTGATGAGTTATTCAGTATCCTTTTTACTTTTAACTAATAATTAAAGGTTATATGTGACTAATGACTATGTACCTTTCAAATTGTTTTTATCATGAAGCCAGTTTCAAACATTTTTTTATTAAACATGGCGCATCAGACAAACAAAAATGTTCTTGCTTTCATTTGAGTGAAAAGAATTTTTTTTAAATTAATTTTTGAACCACTAACTTCAAATTTTGCCCAGAGCCTTCTATTTGTAGTTGCACCATTGCAGATCATTGCATTAACTTTTGGACCAAAATTTTCCAATATCACTTTATTTAACTATTAGTTGAGCTATTATAATACCCATAGTAGAAATTGATAGATATAATGTGTTATATACTTATATGTCATCTTAATATATGATATTTTTGTTCAAGAGACTTAAAATTACCCCTATCAAAATAGTATTTCAGACAAGTATCATTTAAATTTAAATTATAACCATTAACATTCCCCTAAGATGTAAACACAGCTATTGGCTGTGAACAATTGGTGTGTAAACTTTGAAATATAAAAACTAATCCATAATTATCCTTTTCCCCATAATGTAGTATATCTGCATCTTCTCCAAAATCTTCTTATAAAGTATAAGTTAAATAATTGGTATTGACTTCTATGCTTTCTCTTAAAGATATTTCATCAAAAACCAAGATTCCATGATTTTCTTGTTCTTTCATGGTTAGTTATTTCTTTTTCAAAAGCAAAAACCAAACTTGAATCAAATCCACAACCAGTTTTTGTTTGAGATAGAAAGCGACAAATTGTTTTTACACACGACAATGGTAATATCTAATGGTCTAAGTTGAAATGTATAAGTACAGGCTGATCTATAAAACAAATAAAAAGTTATAATTCTTTTTTTTAATACTTAACATATTTATTATTAATCACTTTATACATAAAAGTATACATAAAATTCCTTTTGAATTTTTAATTTTGCTTGAAAATATTATTTCAATGATCACAGCAGTTTCAGATTCATTAACATTAAAATTATTTTTAATTAATTGTTCAATTATAGGTAGATTCAGTTGTTTAAAATTAATTTTTTTATTTCATCGAATTGACTTTTTAATTTTTATTAAGTAATATGTAATATTATATTATTAATATAATATTCAAATAACTATAAATACGTAATATAATAGGCACCTTAGATTTGATTTTCTTGAATAAATAATTTTTTTCTAAATGCCTAATAATGTTTTTTTCTCGTTTGATGCAAGTGTAGATCCTAATAGTTTTCTTATTTTACATATTATATCAAGATCATATTTTTTTGCACTTAATATACTATGCATGAAGTAGTGTCTTGAATGCCCCTCTCCCCTATCTATTATGCCGTCCAGTCCTGTATACTTGTGCTCCCCATATTGTATACATTTTTTTACTGATTCCATTTATCTTGTTTGTTCTAATAAAAAATTAAAATATGCTACATAATCCTTCATACCACTCAAATTGTTGTAATCATTAAAACTATACAATTTTTATAAAAATGTAGAGCCATAAAGTATTAAGCATTGGTATTTTTGTGGTAAGTTTTTGATGTTTATAAATCATTTTCACATTTTTTTTTGTGTGCATTTTTTAAATTGCTTAAGGTCATATCAATTTCCGGGCCTTACTCATAATATATAAACTTACAATTATTTAAGTAGCTTTTAACTTATGTTTATGCTCCAAAACCCATTTACACATTGTTCCAACTTCTCAAATTCGGACCTAATAATAGCTACAATTCAATGAGTGAAGGTTCTACTAAGATTCTAAGAATGTTATTTTTAAATTCGTATTGATTGAAAATATATTTTTACTTTGTTGATTTTGCAGGTATTGATTTAACTTCAAACAACTACAATGGTCAGAATAACACATGCAACATATAAATTAGGTAATATTTGGGATATTAGTTGAATATTATACCATATTGTTCATGCTTTATTCATTATGCTTACTATGTAGAAAATTATACAAAATGAGACTGATTTATTGGTTTTCCCTTCATTAGGTTTTCTGCTATATATGTTATATAAGCTGTTTACCAATTTAAAACAGAAATTACATTTAAAAGTTTATACATAGTTTATACATAGTTTTATATGTTAATGATAATAACTAATTTATTTAAATAATAACTTTATAACACTGTCCATCATTACTCAAATCTAATTAAGGTAATGTTACATGTGTACTTATGCTGTTTCTTATATTTGATTGATTGTACCTATTTACTTTTATTTTTTTTTAATGAATATTTTGTATGCAAAGGTTTGCTCGTATAACTCAATTTTTAATTATGTGAAGCTTATATTAATAATAAAAATAATACAATGACTAAGATAATATTATGTTATTTTGGTCCTCATATATTTTATTCTATTATTTTCTTTTTTTCTTGAACATTTTATGATAAAGTATTTGTTCTTACTATGACATTGTTAACTTTAACTGTTAAGAATTCAAGTTATACAATATGTTTCTTATATATTTTAATTGTATTCTTATTTTCTTTTTTTATTGAATATTTTGTACCTAAGTTTTGTTCATATTAATACATTTTTAATTATGTGTAATCCTTGAAAGAAAAATACATTACTTGCATATGCCTCATTGAACTCAACATTGTTATATTTTGTATTTCACTATAATATCTCCCACACAACACAGATACATCTAATATTTATCCATTAGATATATTGGATGGATATCCATGATATCTAATGGATGGTTATGGACGACTCATAGATATTAAAGAGATATCCAAATGGCCGTTTATTTTTTTTATATTGGATATCCATACTAAATATCTTTATTTTGTCCATTCTAATGTATTTAATGGTTATAAATGTATTTATTTTGATATCTAATGGACATTCTGTAGATATATTTTAGTCATTGAAATTGCCGTGGTTCGGTGGCATTAGGTCATAATATCCCCAATTATCTGCAATCTTTTTACAACCAGGATAAATAACAATTTTAAACTTTTGAAAGTTTCTTCTTCTACGATGTGTAAATAAATTTGTTGGACCACGTTTTAAAGTTGTTGGACACCAGAACTTAATAGTACGAAAAAACAAATCTTCAATATGAATATATAATAATCTAGTTTATAGGAAGCAATGACTAATGGCTTGGAACTATTTTCATTGTTATTGTCTACTATAATAGAAAAAAATATAAAAGACATAATATATTCATATATTAGTATTTATTATATTAAGCTATCTAATTAATTATATTTAAAGTATGTTTAATGTTAGTTTAATGCTTAACAATAGGTAAATATTTTTTTTTTATGTATATGTTATATTTAGATTTAAGATGTTGATGACTCTTAAATTTTTTTCTTTAGCTCCTATAAAACGCTTAAAATTTGTTTCATTAATAATATCCTAATTTTATTTTGCATTTTTAGCCATTTTAACTTAATTTTTTAATATTTTTGCATTGTTTTATTTCATATTTTATTACTTATTTTCAGTGTTTGTACAATGGGGGACATTTTACTCAAATTTTATATTTGTGAGTTTTTGTTATAATAATATATTATTTTTATTATTTCTACTTTATTTTTTAATTTATATTTAATAATTTCATATATTTGTTTTTACTAATGTAGTATTGTCTATTACAGTTATTTTTTTAATTACTCTGAAATCCATTATCATACCCATATCTCAAATTATAATAATGCTTTTTAAATTAAATTCTTCTCACTTATGTAAGTAAGTAGATTTTTAGGTAATTTTTTGAAGTTTATAGGGCATTTATTGTGTGTTATTAAGGTCATTGAAATCATGTCCCTAGTTATCTTATAGCTAAAAGTATCAAATACTAATCATAATTGTTAATAAGTTATTATGTACGTATACTATAATCAATTTTATAATACAGACGTAACAATATAGGTTATGAGGCCTTTTTCAAATATTATATACATAAGCTACTAGATGTTGGACAGTTCATATAAACTATTAATTAATTAGATTGTAATCAGAAAATTAATTAGTCTTGTTAAGATACTTACTTAAATAGTATCATTCGTATTTAAAATACACATTTAAATACTGTCTTTCAAAAGTATTTGAATATAATTAATACTAATACATTTTAAAAGTATTTAAAATACTTAAATACCTACTTCACAAGTACCTATTTTTTTTTTGTATACATGATATAAATAATCATATTTATAAATATGGTATCATCTGCGTGTTTGATGGAATCTTTTAGGTACTTAGAAGCATTATAAAATAGATAACAGTGATAACAGTTAACGCTTACTCACTCTTCATACTTTTAATAATTTAGTCTTCTTTACCGAATCGCATTTACGTGGATTGACTTTTTCATGTGTCTTTTGATTTTGTTTATAATATGTCTTAATTACATCAGTTAACATAACTAAATTCGGCCCGTTTCCGACTTCAAAACTTCAACTTCCAATCTGATCTGTCCGGTGAGTGCACTTGTTATCAATTTAATATCAGTTCAACAATGTATCTGCTGTTCTCTCAGCCAGCCACAAACGTACTTCGGAGACTTTAACGATCGTGTAGAAAGTTTATTCTACTGCCTTATTGAGCTACTTCTTCACTCGTGGGTCTTGTGTGGCATCACTAATACTTTAAGGAGTACCTTCAGTCTGTCCGACTCCAATGACACCTGTTAGAACTAGATCTTCCAATACCACATCTTCGTCTACTACTTCTACCGTCACGCCGCCAATAAACCCCAAAAATTTAACTATAAATTATATTTTGAAAGCTGTCAATGATTTAAAAAAATCCCAATCTGAAATACTGTTATCAATCTCTAATATTTCCAAATCACAAACTTCAGAATTTGCTCAACTCAAGAAGGACTTCACTAATCTCTCTAATAATCTAAATCTACTACAAGCTGAAAATACCTCCCTCCGGAAAGATTTATCAACTCTCAAAAATAGAGTAGATTCTCTAGAGTCAAAACCTAATGAGCCCAACACTATATCAACATCTCTTTTACCTGATATGTTACTTGAGCTCACTGAACGTGAGAAATGCACGTTCAACTTTATAGTCCATAATCTTCCTGAGTCGTCCTCAGCAAATACCTTCAGAAAGAATTGCCTCGGACTCCAAGAATTTAACTGACATACTGAGCCCCCTCTCTATTTCTACGCCTTCGGATTTTAAGCTTATTACACTTGGTCGAGTGCAACCAAATATTAATAGACCGCTTTAAGTAATTCTTAAAGCTAAAGACGAAGTCATCAATATAATTTCAACCTTCAACACCTCAAAAAAAACCAACCCTACAATTGTAATCTCAATTTCGCGTGACCATACATTTATGGAACGCAAACTGGTGCGCCAAACTTATGCTGAACTCAAAGAAAGAAATGAAAAGGGAGAATTGGGAATCATAATCAAGTACTTCAACGGAATGCCACGCATCATCAACAGTCGTCCAGGTATCAACAGTTCTTCGGTTTCAAAAAACTAGGATTGCTCCGACTTCCTCCACCCACCAACTTTTTCATAGACTCCAGCTACCAACACACCCATCTATCCAACTGTAATACACATTGTTCTATCTGTTCTTCAAGTGTACGCACAATACCAGCATTTTTAAACTTTGTAAATACTTTTAAAGATACCCAGAATACGGTATTATCACACGTGCCCCCTAAACTAACTAATATTACTATATTTTATCAAAATGTACGTGGCCTAAGGACAAAACTTAATGATCTTAGACTCAACATTAATACCTTTGATACATATGATGTATCATTGTGCTTACCGAGACGTGGCTATTCCCTGATATCCTCGACTCCGAGCTCGGTCTAAATGACTTCCAGCTATTTAGATTGGACAGAAACCATAAAATTCATACAGGCTCCCGAGGAGGTGGCGTTCTTATCGCTGTTAAGTCAAACTTTAAAGCCACATTAATTCAAACAGATGTCAATTGCGTTGAACAAATATTTATTATTTTAAAATTTAAATCTGTTAGGGTCGTTATCGTTACTGTGTACATACCACCCCAAAGCTCTCTTCAGAACTATGAATTGCACTCTATCTGTGTAGAAAAATTAATTTTTGATATAAACCCAATTCACGTCATCTTATGCAGTGACTAACACATTCCAAACACCTCGTGGTCATTTGACGATCTTGGTCTAAAATCCTCCAGTATTACAACTGCTCCTGCAACTATAATTTCTGATTCATTCTCATTCCTAAATTTATTTCAGTGTAACACAATTTCTAACACGTACGGCGAACTATTAGTCCTAGTATTTTCTACTTATAATAATCTAACGGTTTCCCAGGCTACAACTGCTCTAATTAAACCTGATCATTACCATCCGCCATTAATATTTTCTTTGGCTCTCCTCAAAACAGCTCAAACAGTAGAACGCCCGGTATATCGTGATTTTAAAAATTGTGATTATTCAGCCGCCTATCAATTTTTTGCTTCATTTAATTGGTTAGCTACATTTGAAAAATACGACGATAATACGGCTGCAGCTGTTTTTAATGATGCAATTTTCACTTGTATAGAACAATTTGTCCCCTTCGTAAATCGAAGCACTTTTACTGTACCAAAACGTGATGACAGACACAAAAAAAAATATAAAAAGGTGGGTAAGTGGATGTCGCTTTGCTGTACAGTAGGTTACAAGTGGGTCACTGTATAATGGATGGTATAAAATTTTAATTCAATGATATCATATCTTTGTATACAAAAAACGATTCTAAGAGGACACGGTTTCTCAGTCTAGATATTTTATATTGTTATTTGTACGAGCAGGGAGCAAATAAGAATATAAAACTACAGAATACCTATAATAATACTATATTAATAGGCCGACCGAAATTTGTTAACCCAGTACCCAGAACGCCGTATCTGCATATAGGTATTATCTTATTATATTTTCCTTGTATTATATTATACTAACATACGCCTAAATACCTACCTAATATACCAAAATGTACCTACGTCCAGCAGGCAGTAGCTCGATAACTTATAATAATTAAAACAATAAACCCCTAATTATATGAACTCAAACACAATATTGTTTATACAAAGCAGTCAAATACGAACTGTATTTATTTTTAATTAGTTAGTAGGTACATTCATATATTACAGATCATTTATTTATTAATTCATTCATTTATTTATTTATTTATAATTTATTAATATGTAAAGGGTTTGAACCCAATTCAAAATATGATAAAACAAATTACAAATGGCACTGAAACACATTTAATGCATCAAACATTCACAATTTAAAAAAAAAAAGGTGGGTAAGTGGATGTCGCTCTGCTGTACAGTAGGTTACAAGTGGTTCACTGTATAATGGATGCTATTAAATTTGAATTCAATGATACAATATCATTGTATAAGAAAAACGATTCTGAGCGAAGACGGTATGTCAGTCTAGGTTTAAGACATATTATATACAAATCTATGGTATTAAAAAAAAATTGACCTATAATAAATTCCAAATTAATCATAACACAATACACATTAGGTACTTATAACACGTTATACATCAATAAAAAACCCTGATACTATCATAGATATATAATATAGTGTACTTTAGAAGTTTCAAGTACCCACGAATAGTATTATACACTCACAACAAAATAACTAAAATAGGTAGGTATGCTAGGTTTTTTAATATGTAATTTCGTCCCAAATTTGAACATAAAATGTCTGTAAAAAATAACTGTGCTAATATATTTTTTAGATTTTTTGGCTACAGTATGAACTATTTATGAGAATCTTTTTTTTAAATTTTCAATCCTTAGCTATAAAAACTGAACATTTTATAATTTATTAATTACGATGATTGATAATTTTCGAGATTTTGATAAATTTTGTCAAAATGCGATCTTTAAATGCATATAAAAAAAAATTGTATCTATGTATTTTTAATATTTTTCAATTGCTATTGTAACAATATATCAGGAGCCTTGTATTAATTTTTCACACTTTTTGGCCCAACAGATAAAACTTTATTAATATTTATAGAAAAAAAAACTAAAAAATTAAAAACTGAAAATGTCCGTAAACGGCTCAAAAAGAGTCAAAATATTTTCAAAATTGTATGGTGTATAGGAAATGCTAATATAAACATTCATTGAAATTTTTATGTATCTACAGTTGTTCGTTTTTGAATTACAACAAAATAAGGAAATCGCTACATGAGAAATCTAGTGAATATCCAATATTGTAAAAATTTTAATTTCAAACGCTCATAAAAATTTAACTTGACTGTCCGGTAGAGATTTTTTTATTGATAAAGGTAGATAATCTTATAAGGAATCTTGTGTTTCATTTTCAAATCTTAGATTTAAAAATAAAAATTTTTACGAATTCTTAATTCAAAATAATTTGCTAATTTTCGTGATTTTTCCATATTTTGTAAATTTTTGAACTTTAAATGCTTATAAAAAAAAATTGTGACTAAGGATTTTTAATATTTTTCATCTGCCTTTGAAACAACATATTAGGAGCCTTCTATTAAATTTTCAAGCTTTCGCAACCAACAAATAAAATTTTATTGATATTTTTAGAAAAAAACTAAAAAAAAAATGGAAAATGAAAATGTCCCTAAACAGTTCAAAATAAATCAAAATATTTTGAAAATGTTATCGTGTATAGAAAATGCAAATATAAACAACCAGTGAAAATTTCATGTATATACGTTCATTTGTTTTAGAGTTACACCAATAACCAAAATCGATTTTTTGGAAAACCAATTTTGCATAAAAATTCCCGTTTTTCCTTAATTTTTATGTTGTTTTTTCCCGGCGCTTGTGAAAACTACTGGGAAATTTATACTTTTGACCCCCTAAAGTACCAACTAGATTCACTTTCCTATCAGAAAAGCTACTGATGAAGAAAATCCAAGCACTTTTACTGTCCTAAAACGTGATGACAGACACAAAAATATAAAAATATAAAAAAAAAAAAACACACATCATTGTAAAACCAATACATTCATCGATCCGCTCAGAATCTAAAATAAATTGTAAAATTGAGTTAGGTACTGCCTTATTCGTCGAAGCAACAACACAGAATGCCGAAATGCGGGTGTATTAACGATTTTTTTCTCTTTTTAAGTTACTAAAATATGTTTATCTTACATTAAAATAGGTAATTTATTAAAAAGAAATTAAAAATGCATTTATGAACCAATATGCAATAATCCTCTAAATATGCAACATAAAATTTTGGGTTTAAATACAATGCGAGATGAACATGTGGACATTTTAGAACTCCCTAGATGTGCATACAATTAGTACAAATATGCAAATGCATTAAATTCCGGGCTCTACTTATTATCATACCTTTTGAAAATATAAATTACCGCATGTATTTTGCATAAAATCAAAATTTATCAAAAAATAATGATACAGTCAAATTAAACTATATTTTAACAAATGTAATTTTAACATAAATAACATTTCTTTTAAGTTAACATATAAATTGACAACGAATTGGTATAAACGCTAAAATATTAACAATTTAACTAATCCTTATAGCATAGAAGGTAACACAATTTATTTTAGTACCCGTTCTTGTAATTGTTGTACCCACAGACCTAGGTTACAGTCAAGTTCACGAATTAAGATTTTAGAATTTTCCTCTTTACAATAAATTGTATTATTATTATTATTAATATTATATTTCATGTTCAGAATTTTGTTGGTATCATTTTATTGTTGTTGGCAGAAAAATGTATACTGGATTAATAAATAACACTTTCAACCGCATTACAATTTACAGCAGTTACTAACCCGAACCATAGAATATAATTTATATATATATATGTATATATATTAAAAATAATATGTTCTATGCCCGAAAGCCGCTATTTTCAATCAACTGATAATCCAAGTCAATAGATTTAGAATCTTATTAAAAAATCTCAAAAAAGTGAGAAAAGATACCATAATTATGAAAAAGTAAATATAAGTGATTAAAAGTGACTAAAAGTGAGAAAAGTGAGTCGCTACCAGCAGTGTCACAACTTTAAATTCTAACATAACCTACTATATGATAATACTATATGATTCTATTTCTTTATTTATGAGTATTATGTTTAATATATCATTGATTCAAATTTAGCAACATCCATTTGATGCGGACCTGTGGGGTGCCGCGTGGATGTTGGGTGAAGGTGACCAAACAAAAAGAAAAACACAACAAGACGACGCACTAGTATAGTTCATGTTTTTACTTGTGGTGAAGTCATACAATAAAATTGAGAAACGGTATCAATATACAACTATAGTAGTTGTGGTTTTTCTCGCGGGGACGTGTGTAGAGGTCTGTGTCCGGGTCGCTGAGAAAATCAAGTGACTTGTACGAGCCGGTTCGCCGAACGGCCGGTCGACGTTTCCAGGCTCGGATGTCGCGCGCGTTCCTTCAGTTGATAAGTGATAACCACCTATGATGTCTAGTTTTGAAAATAAATAATTCAAAATTTTTTTTTAGTATAAGACCCACTGAAATGAAAATTGAGTTTTCTCGGTAACTATTTGATTTTTAAAAAAACTTTTAAAGATTTTTTATTTTACACTAAGTTCTAATATATTATTTTATTTTTTATATTATTTAACATTTCATTCATGTAATTGTTTTTAAATAAAACGTATGGGAAAAACACAATGATTTGCAAAAAAAAAAATGAAAAGATTTCACTCAGACACTATGCTAGTAAGGCCCCATCTAGTTGTATAAATAAAAAATTAATTTTTAAGATTTTTATAAACAAATTGAGGATTTATTATTTTACACAAGTAAATTATAATACTTTATTTTATTTTTTATTTTATTTTACATTTCATTCATGTAATTGTTTTTAAATAAAACCATAAACAGCAATATGACTTAAAGTAGATTACAAATATAAGTAGTCAAAATATTATTTTAGTTCCATATTATATTTTATTAAGATTACAAATAATAGTTAGTAACAATTTCGAAAAGTTACCTGCTAAATATATTATTATGTCCTAAAATTTATATCGTATACAAATTGAAATAAATTCAATTGGAGACACTATGTAAGTATCCAATTCTGGTTTTTCCTTTGAGGAAAATACTTTTGTGAGGTAAAAAAAAAGTATTGTGAGTCAGTTGCACATGATAGACCATAATAATTAAAGGTACTTACACATAATTTCTTTTTGTGATGAACTTTGGAATTTTTATAGGTAACTACTATGAAATTCCTTTTTAAGGAATTATAGTTTATCCATCATAGCAAATTAAAAATATTTATGTTTATATATTCGTTGCGTATCAAATATTATAGGTTAACATTTTCATCAAACATCTTCATAAACGTATGTTTGAAGTCAAATATAATTGGAATATTGTCAAAATGGTACCTATGTATCAAAAATTGTAAGTTCATAAAATGTTAACCCCCCAAATGAAAATTGAGTTTTCTCGGAAACTGTTTGGTTACAAATTGTTTGATGTCGGTTACAATTAGTTACTAAAAGGTTACTAAATGTGTGGATATGTCCGGATTCGATAGGACAATGTCGGGGGGGCTACGTGAAGTTGGCCCCCCCAAATGGAAATTGAGTTTTCTCCGAAACTATTTGGTTACAAATTGTTCGATGTCGGTTACAATTAGTTACTAAAAGGTTACTGAATATTGAAATTGGTCTGATGTCGATTGGACATAGTGGGGGGGGGGGGCTAACTTCACAAACGTGGATTTGACGCCAAACACTGGAATATGCCCGAATCCATTGTAAGTGAAGCAAATATTTTTAAATTGGTATTGTAAAACATAATATCATGTATCAATTTATCTTATGTAATGATAATTATTAAAATTTCACATGAAATAAATCTTAATGAATTGTAGAAAGTTAAACTAAAGTAATGGTACTATTTTATATGATAAATAACTACTCAGTACTCACCCATTAAAAAACTGTAGGTATTCGCTTGGTATAATTCTATCACCATTTTTCAGCCAAATAACTTGTGTTGGAGGTTTTCCAGCTACTTTGCAATGCAATGTAATGTTTTCATTTTCAAAACACATTGTATCTTTAAGTTTACGAATAAATCTTGGTTTAACTATAATTATATATAACAATATACATAGCATATAGCTAGGTGGTGAAAACATGAAAACATTATTATGTAAATACTAACCATACACATCTATTTTAGCAGTAGCTTCTACAGAACCTTCGCTATTTTTCGCCCGACAAATATAATGTCCATCATCATTTTCATTCACTTGTCTTATTTGTAAACTACTAGTACCAATTATGCTGAACCGGGTATCCAGATGTCTATAAATTTCTATGTTATTAATTTATTTAAGAGGAGCCACGCCTGCATGTGTTGTCTCCGTCTTACAAATGTAAAACACAGCAAAAACAATTTTATGTTGAATAGAACCACTCAGGCTGTAGTCATAGTTAAGACTCTAAACGTATATCAAGACGAAGACAATACATGTAGGTGTGGCGTTTTCTGAAGATCAGGAACTGTATATTATTGATAAACTTATACTTACATTATACTTACTAGCTTTTAACCAAGTAATTTGTTTCAGTGTGTTTCCAACAACAGCACAATCAAGAGTTACTATTAATCCTTCCATAGTGATTGTTGAACGAGGTTCAGCGACAAATTCTAGAGCTTTTTATCTTTTAATTGTATCTACACAAATTATAAATAGAATTTAAATTATACTTTTAGTATTATAATATTAGATTCTTCACTCAGAATTGTTTTTCATCATATAGGTAGATACATTAGATAATTATTAATCATTGAATTCAAATTAAACATTTATTAATGAGCCTACTCAATTAGAAGATACGCTAATTAACTGCTGTAAACCAGAAAGGTTACTTTATCTCATTTTTTTTATATATTTATTATATATTATATATAAATGTACAGAAGTTAAATAGATATTTTTTTTTAAATAACCTTCATTATGAACAATTGTCATCATTCCGGCATCACTTAATCTATGCTTATTCAATACAGTAATATTACATCTATAAGCACCAACATCGTTTTCATGGACATCATTAATTTCTAATGCTCCTATATAATATAAAAAAATGAATATAGTTTTAGTTTGGTATTAATTATTAATAGATGGATAATTAAATTGATCTTACCAGATGGGAATATTGCCATACGATTATCAGTTACTAATAGTGAATTATATTTAAACCAAATTATATTAATTGGTAAAGGTTTTGAGTTAACGAGACAAGGGAAATATGCTATTTGTTCAGAAAGAAGACTTAGATCTGTTGGTTTTTTTTTCAAACGGCGATAAACCTGTTTAATTATTGTTAGTAAGTAAATAAATACAAAAAAATTCATAAAGTAATACTTACACGAAAGTGTTATGGTTGCTATACAGCTAACAATAGAACCAATATTATCGAAAAATGCTACACATTGATATGATTCTAAACTTTGAGAACATTTTCATCATTATTAAAAATATTGTTAAGAGATCCATTTTTCAAAATAGATCTGAAACAGTATAATACATTTTTTTTAAATACAATTTAGGTGTTGTGAACTAAAAATAAATTTACCTTTTTGTATCTCCAATAAAATCTAAGTACTGTCCATTAGCAATGTTCCATCTATATTGAGGCAACATAACAACACCATCAAAATTTGCTTCGCAATCCAGTCGAACGGTTTTACCGGCAGTTGAAATAATATTGCTAGGTTCAATAGTAAATATAATATTACCTATTGTAAACATATTAGAGCATTCTTTTTTGTAGTGCCACGGAAAAGTTAATAATATAAAATATTAAAATATAAATCCAAAATAATTTACGGATGGCCTCCTATGAATGATATAGTGCGGCAGCCGGCGGTCTAAACATTTTGTACTCACTTCGTACCGGCATGATGAACAGAAACATGGAAAAAGCAGCCGTCCATCTTGTGTGTACAAAAAAAAATGGAGCTACAATAAGCTGCATAATGGTGCACAGGATAAAATTATGTTGATGTTTACAGATTGAGTAGATGATGTAGGAGTAGACATAGATCGATCTAGGACAAATCGCCGTCGCTGTTTCGACGTGAGGCCACTTCGGCGTTAAAAAAAATTTGGAGTATTTTACTTATTATTATTTATTATACACATTTTCACATTATACACATTCCAATATTCAATAATAATATAAAATGTTTATAAAAAAAAACTGTGACTAACGATTTTTAATATTTTTCATCTGCCTTTGAAACAATATCCTAAGAGCATTCTATTAAATGTTCAAGTTTTTTTAACCAACAAATACAATTTTATTGATATTTCTAGAAAAAAAACTAAAAAAAAATGAAAAATGAAAATGTCCCTAAACAGTTCAAAATAAATCAAAATATTTTGAAAAATAATGTTATCGTGTATAGAAAATGCAAATATAAACAACCAGTTAATATGTCATGTATCTACGGTCATTTGTTTTAAAGTTACACCGAAAACCAAATTCGATTTTTTGGAAAATCGATTTTGCGTAAAAATTCCCGTTTTTCCTTAATTTTTCTTTTGTTTTTCTTGGCGCTTTTGAAAATTACTGTGAATCTTAAATTTTGACCTCCCAATGCACCAACGATATTCACTTTCCAATCGAACAAGATACTGAAGTCGAAAATCGAAGCATTATTTCGACTACTTATCGTGTACACAGACACAAAAATAAAAAAATAAAAACAAAATATATAAAAACACACATCATTGTAAAATCAATACATTCATCGTTCCACTTAGAATCTAAAATGTGTATTTTGTTAATTTTTTTTAACGGCGAAGTGGCCTCACGTCGAAACAGCGACGGCGAAATGGTTTTACGGCGAAGTTGCGACGGCGAAATGGCAACGGCGAAACGGCGACGGCGATTTGTCCGTGTTCGAATAAATTGATGCCGGCGGCAACTGACAACTTGATGCCGGCATCTTTTAGTGTATTAGTATACTAAGACAGCTCGACAATTACAATGAATTAAGTCCAATTGTTAAATTATAAATAAATGTTACATACTAATAAAGCTAATACGCTGAAAAGTGTTAAATAATCCATTTCTTTATTTATAAGTAGGTATTATGTTTAATATATCATTGATTCAAATTTCACAACATCCATTACACTGCCCCACTTAAAACCTAATGTACAGCAGAGCCTTGATAATTTATAATTAATATTTCCTTATCGGGCACTCATTAAATTTTGGAATTTATCATCATTAATAATTGAGTTAATTTGTCTTAATTCAAGACGAATTAAAATTCTAAGTGATGATTCAATTATACCTAATCAAATAACAAATTAAAAAAGTGTGGGCAAGTGGATGTCGCTCTACTATACAGTAGGTTAAAAGTGGGTCACTGTATAATCGATGGTGTTAAATTTATTATAATTGTCGAGCTGTCTTAGTATACACTAAAAAAAAAAAATAAACAGAAAATAATACAAATCATGTTTTTTTTTTATTAAAATTAAATGCATATTAACCAAAAGAAAGGCATAGTATATATTTCTTATAATAAGTAGAGTAGAAAACAAAAATAAATTTTGAAACTAGTATAAACTGTATTAGCACGATTTTTTTCGAAATTTGATTTTAATAATATTATATTGATTTTAATATTATTTATATCGTAACAAATTAAATAGAGGAATTGAGGAAAAATGTATGTTTGACCAACCATAAGGCTTTGAGTTGTGTCCATAAACATTTTTGAAGAACACCTGGAATAAAATCTACATTATTAAAGTTCATTGAAGTACAACTTGATGGCAGCACTCAGCTATTGCGTGTAAAAAAACGCTTGCAAAAGTCAGAGATCAGATCGGCATGTCAACATTGTCAACTTTCTTAATTTTTAATTTTTAATAGTTCATTAGAAAATATGTAGCTTAAGTTATTCTACAGCGTAAGGTTAATTGATTGTAATGGGTTTTTGAAAAAATTCCAAAATTACAGGCACCCGGTAAGGAAATATGAGTTATAAAATGAACATTAATACAAAAATAACATATAAAATATTATACTCACAAAATTCTTGAATTGCAGTATTCAAACGGGTGTGACAAAAACTGGAAACGTATCCACAGACTTGTACATAAACATGGTAGAACCGAATCTGCCCGTGATGTTGAATCCTCGGAGAAGTTAGAAAACTTTCCCGAAGGAACAAATCATTGACCGTAGACAGCCAGTGACAAGTTCATATACAAGCCCTCCTCGTTTACAGCTTCGTCACAACACCAGTCAACGTGAACGTTCAATGCCCGTGATATAGCCGCCCGCAATGGTGCACAGGAATATAATCATGTTGATGTTTAGAGATTGAGTAGATGATGTAGGAGTAGAAATGAGGTTAACCTCCAATTTGTGAGATCCAACAGGCACGACGACGGTGAGCACAGAATAGTTGGTAACGGTTTGGAATGACGGTGCTTCGACGGAAACTTCGCACCGGTATTTTCCGCTACTTTCCACTTCCAGAGCCCTTAGAACAATGCTTTCTGCAGTAGACTGTTTCTGATCAACGTACACTCCCATTACTTTGAACATTTGAATTTCTGGAGATTCCCTCGGTAGGAATCTATAAAACTCTTGAGTATCTCTGTACCATTTGACTGTGTATAATTGTTCACCTTGCAAGTCGTATTTGCACTCCAGTCTGGTACTATTACCTACGATACTATGTTTTGCGATTTTGAACTTCATGAGTCTAAGGCAAAATGCGTTAGATACGATCAGGTAAAGTGTCGCCATTGCAGTCGACATCGAGACATGATTGTGGTGGCCGTTAAAGATACGTAATGATGATGATGATGATGATGAAATCAATACCTTTATTTAAAAATAAAAATTTTTATTATCATAGGTATATTGTTCTGTGGTTGGACCCATAGAAAAAATACAACAACTAGATAGCCTTCTCATTCTTGTCATCGAAGTCAGCCACCATTTACAAGGCAGGCAATGTTTAAAAAATAATATTATCATAGTATGTATGTATAGATAAATATATATGTAATGTATATAAATAAATGTAAAATAAATGTAAACATTGCCTGCTTTGTAAATGGCGGCCGAATTCAATATTGGTCACAACTGTAGTATAATTGCGGCTATCTAGTTGTATATATCTATATTTGGACCATGATTTTCTCCTAATGAATTAATGACTTTAAGAATATATTGATTTTAATAACATATGTATCGTTATGAATATATCAGTTTTAAGAATATATAGATCGTAATTTAAGGATATAATGATATTAAGAATATAATGATGTTAAGAATCTTTTGATCGTAATGAATTAATGATTTTAAGAATATAATGATAATGTTACAGGACCAATTAAAAAATATCGTGTTTACTGACAACTTGATGCCGCCATCTTTTAGTGTATTAGTATACTAAGACAGCTCGACAATTACAATAAATTAAGTCCAATTGTTAAATTATAAATAAATGTTGCATACTAATAAAGCTATTATATGCTGAAAAGTGTTAAATAATCTATTCCTTTATTTATAAGTATTATGTTTAATATATCATTGATTCAAATTTAACAACATACATTACACTGCCCCACTTAAAACCTAATGTATAACAGAACAACACTATTTTCTATTTTTTGATTAATAAAGAATTTTGTCATATATAACAGTATTTTTTTGCACAAAGAAACTAGTATGACATTGGTATGATGTATATCATAATTATTAATCAATGGCTATAACATAATACGGGGATGTAATACTTACAATCAAATAACTGATCCACTTCGGCATTTCAAGTTAAAATAGGTAGTAAATACTCGAGTAAATCCGTTGGGTATTTACAAAATACATAAAAATCACGAAAATTAGCAAATTATTTTGAGTTAAGAATTCGTAAAAATTTTTCTTTTTAAATCTAAGATTTTAAAATGTAATACAAGATTACTCATAAGTTTGTCTAACTTTATCAATAAAAAAATCACTACCGGAAAGTCAAATTAAATTTTTATGAGGGTTTGAAATTCAAATTTTTACAAGATTTTATATTCCCTCGATTTCCCATGTGACGATTTCCTTATTTTGTTGTAATTAAAATACGAATGACTGTAGATACTGTAGAAATTTACCATATTTAAAATGTAATAATCATTTATAGTATCACAGTTTGTTGTTGATGTATAACGCATTATAAGTACTTAATGGATATTGTGATATGATTAATTTGGAATTTATTATATCTAAATATATAAGTCAAATTATTTTTAATAAAATAGATAAGTATATAATATGTCATATACTGACATACCGTCTCCGCTCAGAATCGTTTTTCTTATACAATGATATCATTGAATTCAAATTTAGTACCATCCATTATACAGTGACCCACTGTACAGCAGAGCGACATCCACTTGCCCACCTTTTTTTTATTTGGTATTTGATCAGGTATAATTGGATCATCACTTTTTTTTCGTCTTTATTCGTCTTGAATTAAGACAAATTAACTCAATTATTAATGATATTAAATTCCAAAATTAAGTTAGTGCCCGGTAAGGAAATATTAATTATAAATTATCATGGCTCTGCTGCACACTAGGTTACAAGTGGGGCAGTGTAATGGATGGTGTTAAATTTATTATAATTGTCGAGCTGTCTTAGTATACACTAAAAAAAAATTAACAAAAAATAATACAAATCATGTTTTTTTTTAATAAAATTAAATACATATTAACCAAGAAAAAGACATAGTATAACTATATACTTACTACTATATACTTATAACTTATAAGAAAGTAGAAAACAAAAATAAATGCATAGATGGGATTATAGTAATTAAGACTAGAAAAATCAATTGATGTCACGGTTATTGGGAATTTAAATATAATTATAATGCCTTCTCATATCTTTTAATAATTCCTAGATGCCTTTTTCTAATTGCTGTATTTTTGCAAATTTTAATTAATTGTACATTATCAGGTTGAATTTGTTTCCTATATGGTATCACAGGGTCTTTGTGATATAGTTGTTTTTGATTTGTAGGTTTTAAACCTGGGAAAAAAACACAAATATAAGGATCCTCTATGGAGTGTACAATTCCTGGTATAAAAGGATATTCATTTCATTCAACAAGGATTATTTGACCTACAGTATATAAAGGATTTTCTTCTTCTAGTGTTAAGTTTTCCAAACTATTTTGTAACTGGTGTTCTGTAGAATGGCTTGTCTCAGGTTGTTGGTTTTCTGGTTGTTGTTGATTCAAATTTTGATCGCATTTTCGTTTTCTCTAAAAGCAACTGTGGTATCACCCGTATCGAATAATACGCGGTAAACCAACTTTATACCTTAAAGTAATATTTAGAAAAATTGTTCAAGGGACTTAATGAAATGTATAAGATTCTCGAAGCCCTCCTGGATTTTTTTATCAATGTTTTCGGTAACTTTCTTATTCTGTCTTCGTTGTTGGTGTTTGTTCTCGGGTTGTTCCCCGTTTTCAATTTTTTTTTATGTTTCATTTGGCCTTTTTTTATTGCTTTGTGTAGTTTTTTAATTTTTGTTCTCTGTGCGAATCTTTCGATTAAAATATTTATGTTATGACTTCTATTGTGTTCGAACCATATTTCATCCATTTTTATAGAATTGTTTTCGATTTTTATGCTTTTATTTTTAAAATTGATTATTATGTTGTATTTAATATTGAAATCGTTTCCTAATAGTAGTTTACAGCTTAGTCCTTCAATGACGTATACTTTGATTTTATATTTGAGTGTGTTGATTGTAATTATTACTTCTGTTGTTCCTCTTTGTATTAGTTCATTATTATCTGCGCCTGTTATTTTTATTTGTTTTTTGGGTTAATTTCTTGTTTATTTTTTACTAGGGAATAATCTATACATTATAGATTTGAGCCTGTGTCTATTATTGAATTTTGTTCGTTGCCGTCTAGTTTTATTTTAATGGATAGCACTCTTTGTTTCCGGTCTGTGTCTGAATCTACGCTTGTATTTTGATTTTTGATTTTAATTTCGTCTTTGTGTTGAATTAGCTGATTTTTGGTTTCTATGGCTTTCTCGTCTTCTTGTATGGGCCGATTCCGATATTCTCTTATGTAGTTTCCACATATTTCACAAAACATAACGTTTCCCCCCTCACTCCAATACTCTTTATGGTCGTCTAGTACATCCTTGGTTGTGGACAAATATTCGCAGTCTTGGCAAAATTGTGAGTACCATATTGTTGATTTGTCAGTTTTAAAATAGTTTCCGGTCTTACTTTTTTCTATTGTGTTTTGTTGTGATAATTTTAAGCGATCGAAACATTCGTATAAGAAATGGTCTACATTTTTTCCTACATTATTAAATTCGGGAAAAACTGTGTTTATTATTATGTTATTGAATTGACGTGGTTTATATATTTTTGTGATAATTCTTGGTGTCCAATTATAATCTTTTTCGAATATCCCTATGCTTTTCCTATTTGATTTCCAGTATATTATGGCATTTGTATGTTCGGAATCTTCGTGTATTAAATATAAATTTAAATTAAATTGGTCACAGATAAATGCTAGATCGTCATTTTTAAAATAGTAGCCAGATTTGCAATTAGGAATGCCGAGCATATTTAATAATTCTACCGTCCTTCTATATATACCATGTTGTTTCAAGCATATTCGTAGTGCGTGGGCACCACAATCACAGTCTCCGGGTACGTCTTTCGTTTTTATGAATGAGCCAGCTATTAGTGCGATTTCGTTCTTTAAATTATCACTGATCGTGTTATTAAAATTTTTACCTATCGTAATATTAGTAATTTGGGAATCATTGTTTTTAAAATATTTATTTTGTTTTTCATTGTCGTTGCTCGGCAGTAGGCATATTAACATTTTTATTGGCGTTTCTTGAAAAATAAACTTAATCATGGTAGAAATAACGTTCCAATCCTTTTTGTCTTGTCCAGTGCAAATTTTGGGTAATGCTAAGGTAGTAATATTATTTTCTATACAAAATTGCCTAGTATTAGTTAATGTGTTAAAAATGTTAGTGTATGCTGGTTTGTCGTAATATTTATTTTTTGTTATGAGGTATAGAATCCATTGGCTTCCGTTTTTCAAATAAGCAATTTTGGTCGGTTTTTTTTCTTGGTCTATTACATTTTGAACGTTTTTAAATTTATTTCTAAATTGTAATGCGATCCCCTTCGACATGGTAAGGCATTGACTTGTGCAATGGCTGATTGTGATATTATTTGGTAATGAAAAAATATTTACTGTTATCTGTTCACTGTAATCGCATAGGAAATCGGTTATATCGTTATTGCTGAGTAGGAATTTTTGGAATTCATTTAACGGGTTCAAACTGCTTATTGTTACGATGTTTTCTATAGATATTACGTCATCGTACTTTACTTCATTAGTTATTAATTTATTTGATTTTTTTGATTTGTACCAATTTTCTACAAAATGTATGTAATTATTTTTCTCAATCTGCTTCTCTTTGTTAAATTTTGAGGTGTCGGTTTTGGTATTAATATTTTTTGTTTCCCGAGTTAGATATTCCGATTTTTCTCTTAGCTCGGGTGCTATTCGTTTTTTGAAAAATTGCAATCGTTAGCATAGTGTCCTTTACCATTGCATTTGTAGTATGTTATTTTTCCTCTTCCATTAAATCCTTCCGGCGTCGTGGATCTTGAATATCTTTCTCTGCTGTTTTCCCTACTGTGCTGTTTCCTACTTATGTCATTTTCACAATTTCTGTTCTTATAACTATTTCTATCTCTGGATC